AATAAAAACAACAAAAAAAGTTTAAAAACTCTTCAAAAATCACATTTATTCAAAAGAATGTGAATAGAAACTCAAATTGTATTTATTCTTATCTTCAAATTGCATTTAAATAAAAAGTTGATTTTATACTGCTTCAGAAGCCGAATTTTGATACTTAGCAAAAATATGTCATTTCTCATTCAAGCTACTACTGCTTTTTATCTCAAAAGTCTGATATAAAGTCAAGAGTAGTGATCTATGAAAGAAAGAGATCAAGATATCAATTTAATCTAAGATTTAATATCATGTCTGACTCTGATATTCTGGTGGGTGATATTATAGATAAAGAAAATAAGTTTGATACTATACAGCTTATAAATATCTATAATGAAAAGTCATTGAAGAAATATAACAATATCTGAATAATTGATAGAGGATTTCTGAATATAACTTCATCAAGAAACTCTATAATTGCAGAAGACTTCAATGCACATCATCTCTGATAAAATTCAGAATGCAAGAGAGCAGTGAGAGCTGATAATCTGATTGAATGAATCTTTGAGCATTCAATAGATTTGATTAATAAGTCTGATCAATAAACATTCTTTAGAAAAGACATGAAACAGAAGTCTATTATAGATCTAATCTTCATATCATAAAATCTAATGAAAAGAAGACTTGTAAACTGGTTTATTAATTTAAATGAGATATCAGAATCAGATCATGAGATTATTCAATTTAATATTAAACTGAGTGAAAAATAAATGAGTGAAAATCCTCTTCTCTCTAATCAGTATAACTTTGAAAAAGCTGATTGAAAAGCAGTTGAAGAAAGTATAAAACTGTTAAAATCTAAAAGATAGAATAAGCTATGTTGAAATTCTGATCATGATATCTCAAATGAAATGCTTGAGAATAGAGTGAAGCTTATTACATCTATTATTCTAACAAGTGTTAGAGATAATATTTCAAAGAGAAAATCTTCTGAGTATTTAAAATCTTAATGAAATAAGAATATCTCATCTAAAAGAAAAGAATTAGCTACTGCTAGAAGAGATTGAAAGAATGATGTAATATCTGATGAAGAGTTCAAAGCTGTCAGAAATGAATATTTTTCAGATATTAAAAGAGCTAAAACAGACTGCTGAAATAAATTTCTTGAAGAAGTATAAGAGAAGAAAGTTTTTAAAGCTTTTAACTATACTAAAATAAGAAGTGTAGCAAAACTTTCAGTCTTAGAATATAAGTTTCAGAATGAATCATATACAGTAAACTCTTTTGAGAAAAAATGTCAAGCTTTCATGAGATTTCTCTTTCAGAACTTACCAGATTCAGATTCAGATTCAGAGAAAGAGAATATATCACTTCTCAACTATATTGATGAAAATGACTGAGAATGATCTGATCTTATACAAGATGAATTAGAGTCAGCTATCTTCTCAAGTTCTGTTAAAACTGCTGCAGGTTCTGATTCAATTAATCACTTGATTATTTAAAATACATATTTCTACTTAAAGAATGAATATTTTGAGCTCTTTTTCAATCTCTTGAAAAATGAATATCATTCTGAATGCTGGAGAGAAGCCACTGAAGTGATTCTTATAAAATCTAATAGAAAAACTTCAATTTCTAAGTCATATAGAGTAATATTTCTATTGAACTATCTAGAAAAGATTTTAGAAAAGATAATAGCTACTCAACTATTTTTTATAAGCTCTATAGATGATTCTCTTTTATTCAGTGAATAAATGAGAGATAGAAAACAGTGTTCTACAATTGACACTGTTCTCTCAGTTATTCATGATATTCAAATAGCAAAGCATGAGAGTCTGGTCTCAACTGCAGTTTTTATTGATATAAAAGAAGCATTTAATCATGTTTCAAAGTTAAAGTTAATTCAGATATTGAAGATATTAAAACTGTCACTTTCTCTAATAAAATGAGTTAACTGTTTTATGTCTAAAAGAAGTATATAACTCTTCTTTGATGAAATGAAATAAGATAAGACTGAGATAAAAATAGAAGTATCACAGAGATCTTCAATCTCACTCATTTTATTTACAGTATACACTGCATATCTATTCAAAAATAGAAATATGAGAATAGTGTGATCTCTGAGTTATGTGAATGATCTTAATCTAGTCTACAGCTCAAAAACTATCAAAGAGAATTTGAAAGTAATTGAAGAAGCTGTAAAGAAAATCTTTGTTAGAGCAGATATCAATCAAATTCAATTTAATATGAATAAAACTGAGTTAATTCACTTCTTTCTGAGATTCAATGAGAAAGAACTATCTCTAACTCTTTTAAATAGAGAGATTAAACTCAGTGTAAATGTCAAATGATTAGAAGTATGATTAAACTCCAAGTTGAATTTTAAATATCACATTCAACAAAGAACTGTCAAGGCAGAAAGACTATTGAACAACATAATCAGACTATCAAATACAGAGAGAGGTCTATTCTTCCAGGCTATGAGACAGTTATATATAGCCTGTATTACATCAGTAGCTGATTATGAAGTTCAAGTTTAATGAAATAATCAAGGGAATTTCACTGAACTCTTTCAAAGTCTGCAAAACAGAGCCTTGAGAAGAATTCTGAGAGCATTCAAATCATCTTCTATTAAAGTAATGGAAATTGAAGCTTCAATTCCTTCTCCTGCTATTAGATTTGAAAAGGCCTGTATAAACTATACTCTGAGAGTTGTAAAGATGAGCTCAAATTATATAATCAGAGAAAGAGTCTCTTCTTAATTTTCATTAATTAACTCTGGAAATGAACTGAATTGGAATAGATTTCTTGATTGAAATGAAAATAATTCTTCAAAGAAAATGTCTTCTCAACTGTACAGACTATACTCTCTGATTAAAAATCAATTTTCTTCTTTAAATATTGAAAAAGTTGATCATGAGAAGTTATCTCTCTGAAGAGAAAAGCTTGAATCTCTTATAGACTTACAAATAAGTGAACTATCAAAAGAGAAAGAATATGAACAGTATTTAAAGAGAATTTCTACAATCAATATAAAAGACTCTATTCTGATTTATTCAGATGACTCAAAAAATGAGAACTTGAATAGATTAGGCACAGGCATTGCTTATACTGAAGATAATATCAATTTTATCTCAGATTTCTGAAATCTAGGCTCTGAATATGAAGTCTTTGATGCTGAACTATTTGCAATAGTGAAAGCTTTCAAACTCATTGAAATAAAATCTCATAAAAGAGAAAATTGTTTGAAAGAGATATGAATATTCTCTGATAGTCAAGCTGCTTTAAAAAGACTTGAAATAGTCAGATTTATAATAGTCAAATGAATCTTGAACTGATCTTAAACTCTATTTTAAAAATTCAAAAGAGAAGAACATCAAAGCTGATAATTCATCTGCACTGAGTTTCTGCTCATATGAATATTCATGGCAATGAATTGACTGATTCAGCTGCAAAAAAGAGTGCAGAATTAAGCAGATCTATTCAAAAAATTATGTTCTGATCTTTTATAAAGAGAAAAATAAAAGAATCTTGTTTAGACAAGTGAAATGAAAGCTGGCAGAAACAAAAGAAGAGTATACATTATTCAAGATTTGAAATAAAACCCAAGTGAAAATCTTGTTCAATTAAATGTAAAAAGAAAATATTCTCATCTATAATACAGCTAAAACTAGAACATGGCTATTTCAAATCTTATATACAAAGATTTGATGATAGATTTGACTCAATAGAATGCTCATTCTGTAATACAAATGAGAATTCTGAGTATATTGTAATACACTGTGCATTATACAATAGTCTCAGAGTCAGATTGAAAGAGAAGTATGATCTAAATCAATTAAATATGAGATTCTTATTCTCAACTGAGACAGGAATTAAATACTTAATAGACTTTCTATCAGAAACTCAAGCAGCTATAAGAAAATGGCTAAATTCAGAATTATCTGAATATGAAGAGAAGGAAATCAACCAGATATAGTCTGTTAAAACAGCTATATACTATCTTTTAATAATTTGTTTTGTTACAGTCTTTCTTTATTTTATCTTTTTCTTTCAATTTCTTTCTGTCTATCTATTTAATGTGTCTATCTTTAAGACTGTGTTCTCTTTTCCTTTGTCATGATATTGTCAAATGATTTCAAAGTATGAGATGATGTTAAAACACTGCAATTTGTAAACAGTTTTTGTATTCTGAGCTGAAATTTTCTGATTTTACATATCTGAAATTGATGAATGTATAATAGTTAACTTTACAGATATAGGAAAAACTCTGAGAACTAAAAGTTCTCAGATAGATATCATAGTCTCTGACTGTATACATCTATAATTGAAGAATAATAATAATAATAATAATTACTTTTTCAGTGACTGAAGAGCTTTTATTAATACTTAATTCTTTTTTATACTCTTTATTAACTGATTTAAGTTACACACTTGTTGTGTGAGAAGAATTGATTGATTTAGAATAAAATTGAATAGTTATTCTGATAATTATTAGAAGAAAACAAGTTCTGGTTATATTTCACAAGATATTACACTTACTGCTAACAAACTGCTCAGTATAAGCACTACAATAACACTTATTATGAGAATGAGAGATCATTGCCAGAAACATGTATAATGTGATAGATAAACAGATAGAAGATATTAAATAGAAGAAGAGATAGAAGTCTTGAATAAGATAATAATATTCAATAATGATAATAATAAAGAAGATAATTGAAGAATGAAAAAAGTCAATGAATAAGTAATATAATATAGTGAAAGTTTCTTTATAAGAGTATATAAGAAGTACTAGCTGAATCAGCAATAAACTGTATAATTATAAACACTAGCAGCACACTAATCTGCATGAGACTAGAGCTTATATCACAGTTACATAAATGTGACTGAATCTAGTGAGAGAGAATATAATTCAGAAGAACATACAATTACTGAATAATAACACAGATGCTTTCTGTGAGAGAGGTTGAATGTGGTTGATTGTTGTTGTTATCTAACTAGTAGCTAGTGAAAGCTAAATATATGTGTGTGGGTCACGTGGGTTAGGGCTTGTGTAGTAGCTCCAACACCCCCCCATGCTACGCAGGCCAGTTAACCCACGCAGCCAAAAGCGCCCAAATCATTCAAATCTGCAATAATAATTAATTACACAAAGTAGAGTCTAGTTTTCTCATAAGGACTAGCTCCATACATGCAAATACACGCGAATATGCAAGAAAAAACGCTCAAATCCGTCCTTCCTGTATCTGTATTACCCCCAGTTGTTCTAACGCCGCGGGATCTCATTCTTATTATTTTTGTGGTTTTCATCGTCATAGGCATAGGCATAGGTCATCGGCATAGGTCATCGGCATAGGTCATCATATGGGCAATCGGTGGCCCGGCATCATATAGGCACTGGGGCCTGGCATCGTAGGCACTGGGGCCTGGCATCATATAGGCACTGGGGCCTGGCATCGTAGGCACTGGGGCCTGGCATCATATAGGCACTGGGGCCTGGCATCGTAGGCACTGTGGCCTGGCATCATATAGGCACTGTGGCCTGGCATCATATAGGCACTGGGGCCTGGCATCGTTATCGGTATTTCCATCGTTTTGGCGTCGATATTGGTGGTTATGGTTATGATTATGTCCGTGACATCGTTGACACCACGGGTTATGGTTATATTCATGATATCGTTGATACCACGGGGTTATGGTTTTGATTATGGTTATGGTTTTGTGAAATCTGACCTCCGGATCCACAGTATTTTTGATATTGATATTGTTATTGGCATTGTTATTGAGCATCATTATCAGGATTTTTGGTGTTCTTGTCATTCAACTGAGCAATATGCTGTCTCAGAATGGCGGCTTCATTGCAGTCTGTCATATCTTCGTGTTCTGGAGGATTATCTTGGGCTTGATTATTCTTGTTGTCTTCGCGCGGTTATTGATGTTGGAAAGGATCCAGCTATCTGATTCTCTGGGATCTCTTTGCTGTTGATTGATCTCGTATTGACAGGCATTTGATATGAGGTATTTGAATGAAAAAAAAAGCAGCTATTTGAAAAGCTTATTGTATGATTATTGCATGGTTATAACACTTTGTAGAAGTGCAAGGGCTTCATAACCTGTGAGAGAGGTTGAATATGATTGGTTGTTGTTGTTATCTAACTAGTAGCTAGTGAAAGCTAAATATATGTGTGTGGGTCACGTGGGTTAGGGCTTGTGTAGTAGCTCCAACACTTTCAAACATGCTTACAAATGTAAAGAGGCTCTAGCAGCCACTAATTAATTTAGATATCATATATAAGAAGCCGGCGTACGCCTGTAATTATACACTGACTCAAGCAATCTTTGAATTACATGTAGAGACTCTCTGTTAACAGAGTTTTTTCAGTTGTAATTCAAGTTCTAGAACTTTATATCTCTTCTTCTTTATTTTAAATATTATCTTAAGATGTTTTATCTGCTAATCTGATATTATCTTATCTGAATAATAAATATCTGAGTGTTTATTATTCTTATCAAGAGAATCAGCTTTATTAAGTTATTAAGTAAATTAAGAGACTGATCTAATCATGTTAGAAGCTGTATTCAAATCAGCTTTGAATTGAGAGAGTGTTTTAAGATGTTTATTAATGAAGCTTTCAAATGCTTCAGAAGAATGTTCACTGACAGAGTATAAGTATAAAGAATTATTATTAACTGAAACTGATTCAGTAGAAAGAATGTAAGATTACAAATGTATATATAAGCAGAATTGTGTTAAATTCATTATCTTGATATTTATTTCTTAAATTCTTACTAATATTGTTCTCTTTCTTTTCTTACTTTTTTACAATGTAATATGTTTTCTGTAAGCCTCTTTTTTTTTTTTAAGCAAGTAGTAGTATTATTAATCAACAAGATCTTAAACATGTTAATACTGATAGAATAAGATAATTTTAGCACCTGATAAATGTATTGAATAAAGCAGTAGTTAAATAATAATTATATTAATAAGAAATTCTGAATTAACAGTGTTTTTGCATAAAACAGGTCTCATAATCTATAAAGCTTGTGTGATTGAAAGGTTGCTAGCTTGTAAGAAGTTATATAATGAAAGGATTAGTAAGTCAGATCACGTGACCTGACAGGTTCTTGAAGAATAATATTGTTATGTTGTGTGTAATCTATCTACGCGAGTTACACTAAATGAATAGGTTGAGATAGCATATGACTAGAGTAGATGTAGTAATTATCAACACTTTCCCTTGCTACGCCGTGATCTATAAGTCATCACCCTGAGTCTCTCTCATTCTCAAATCTTTCAAAAATGCAATAATAATTAATTACATTAATTGAACTCTGATTTCCTCATTAGAAAAGGTGTCTATATGATAATAACTGTAAAAATTAAGAAATATATGTAAAATTCATTGATCTGCTGTATCATTATTATCATTCAATCATTTCTTCTTCTCAATTTTCTGAATGTCAATTCTTTTGACAAAATCTTCAAATGTAGGCTTTGCTAGTGACTTGATAAGATTATCAGCTATGTTCACTGTAGAATTAACATGTTTCATTATAATTTCTTCATTTTCAATCAAATTGTGAAGAATATAATATCTGATCTCAATGTGATATAATCTTCATGTTAAGAATTCTCTCTTTGCTAGATTAATTGCTTTCTTATTATCAACTTATAGATGTGAGTATATTTTCACTTTTTCATCATTTAGTAATCTGATGTCATATAACATATTATTTAATCAGATTATCTTATAAGCTATCTCACTAGCTGTAATATACTCAGCTTCTGTGATTAATTTAGTAATAGATATCTGTCTCTGCAACTGTCATAAGATCAGTGACTTATTAATCAATATAATATAGTCAGTAGTCAATTTGTATTAAGAATCTGCCCTCACTCAGTCTGAATTACAGTATATTACAGAACTCAGATTCTCATCACTGATCTTCTTTCTGTATAATATATCATAGTTTTTTGTCTTCTTAACATAATATAGAACATGCTTCAATACTGCTCAACATGTCTTGTGTGAACATGAGTTAAAATATGAGAGATAGTTGACTGTAAATACCAGATCTGATTAGCTACTTGAGATCAAATACTGCAATGATCTCAATTCTTGACAGTATCTCATAGCTGTAAAGTTATCATTCAATTCATCATTCTTATCAGGTGAAAATTTCAGTTATATATCTGTTATCATTGAGATCTTCACAGAATTCATCTTATTTATACTGAAATCTTCAAGAATCTTCTCAATATAATAGCTCTATGTAACTGCTAGATTGTCATTTCTCTGGTATTTAATCTTCATTTCAAGATATGACTTAGTCTCTTTGACATTCTTTGTTTCAAATCTCTTTGCAATTTTCTTTAATACTTAGTCTAATTGCTGTTCTTGAGATTCTGTCATCTGATAATTATTAATATGCAATGTCAGATAGATCTTGTGAACAGAGTAATATAGAAATTCATCATTATAAGATGATATCTTGAATCTCAATATAGTCAGATACTCTGTTACAAGAAATTATCATATTCTTACAGCTTGCTTCATTTCATATAAACTCTGGCAAAGAAGTCTCATCAAGTCTCTTCTGTCATGTTTAACATCTGTGAGCAGTTGTATATAGATTATCTCACTCTGAGATAATATATCATTCAAAAACACAGACATATAGTCAATCAATTTAACCTTTCATTCTTTAGCAGTTAATATAGTAAATAGACTATGTGATATAGACTCTGATATCACTGCAGTATACAATCTCATATAATAAATATTTTACTATTGCAAGAACTCTCTAATCACTTAGTAAGTTTTAAAGTGAATGATTTCTCTCTTATTATTGAATTTTCAATTATATACTCATTTATCTGTAAGAATATTCATTTCTGAACTCTTCTTAATAACAATATATATCTTCTTCTATTCAAATAGCTTAATCTTCTTTTTCATTGTCTCATGTTATTATTATTATTATTATTATTCAATTATAGATGTATACAGTCAGAGACTATGACATCTACCTGAGAAATTTTAGTTCTCAGGGTTTTTCCTATATCTGTAAAGTTAACTATTATACATTCATCAATTTCAGATATGCAAAATCAGAAAATTTCAACCCAGAATACAAAAACTGTTTACAAATTGCAGTGTTTTAACATCTTCTGATACTTTGAAACCATTTGACAATATTATGACAAAGAAAAAGAGAAATAGAACACAGTCTTAAAGATAGACACATTAAATAGATAGATAGAAAGAAATTGAAAGAAAAAGATAAAGTAAAGAGAGACTGTAACAAAACAAATTATTAAAAGATAGTATATAGCTGTTTTAACAGACTATATCTGATTAATTTCCTCCTCTTCATATTCAGATAATTCTGAATTTAGTCATTTTCTTGTAGCTGCTTGAGTTTCTGATAGAAAGTCTATTAAGTATTTAATTTCTGTCTCAGTTGAGAATAAGAATCTTATATTTAATTAATTTAGATCATACTTCTCTTTCAATCTGACTCTGAGACTATTGTATAACACACAGTGTATTACAATATGCTCAGGATTCTCATTTGCATTGCAGAATGAGCATTCTATTGAGTCAAATCTATCATCAAATCTTTGTATATAAGATTTGAAATAGTCATGTTCTAGTTTCAGCTGTATCATAGATGAGAATATTTTCTTTTTACATTTAATTGAACAAGATTTTCACTTGGGTTTTGTTTCAAATCTTGAATAATGTACACTCTTCTTTTGTTTCTGCCAGCTTTCATTTCACTTGTCTAAACAAGATTCTTTTATTTTTCTCTTTATAAAAGATCAGAATATAACTTTTTGAATAGATCTGCTTAATTCTGCACTCTTTTTTGCAGCTGAATCAGTCAATTCATTACCATGAATATTCATATAAGCAGGAACTCAGTGTAAATGAATTATCAGCTTTAATGTTCTTCTCTTTTGAATTTTCAAAACAGAGTTTAAGATCAGTTCAAGATTCATTTAATCATTATAAATCTGACTATTTCTAAGTCTTTTTAAAGCAGCTTGACTATCAGAGAATATTCATACCTCTTTCAAACTGTTTTCTCTTTTATGAGATTTTATTTCTATGAGTTTGAAAGCTTTCACTATTGCAAATAGTTCAGCATCAAAGACTTCAGATTCACAGCCTAGATTCCAGAAATCTGAGATAAAATTGATATTATCTTCAGTATAAGCAATGCCTGCGTCTAATCTATTCAGGTTCTCATTTTTTGAGCCATCTGAATAAATCAGAATAGAGTCTTTTATATTGATTGTAGAAATTCTCTTCAAATGCTGTTCATATTCTTTCTCTTTTGATAGTTCACTCATTGTCTCATGTTAATAGTCTCAGTCTGAGCTTCTCTTGACTTTCATCAGTGTAGTTAATTAATCTATCAGAATACTTAGAACAGAATTATTCTCATTAACAGAGTCTTCAGACTAGACTGACCGTGTGACCGTGTCTGAGACCAGGACCAGAATTTTTGATAGTCTCATTGCCAGTTCGACAGATTCCATTACACGGTTCTAACATTAGATAGTAGTCTCATACTGTCTCAGTGAGACTTACTGTCTACTCTTGTCACATTTTCCAAATAAGATCATGATTTTCACTTCTCAATTTAAATTATTTTTATTGCT